CACGGGTCCTGCGTGTTATTTACGCCGTGCATGAAGGTGCCGCAGCGATTTGCGGAGGCAGAGGGCTGGCTGTCTGCTGGCTCTGGGCTGCACGACCGCGTCCCTTCCCTGGGAAGCCCAGTCCTTCGCTGTGGGTCGCGTCTCCTTTCAGCTCCACAAACCTCACATCACCGAGGAGGCCCTGAACAAGGAAGCTCACCCTGGATCGGGACCAGCGTTATGAAACTTCACCAACTGTTTTGAAAACTTGCCGCTGTTTTCTAGGAGGAGATGATGATCAAAACAGGGTTGTGTGTTGTTTTTTTTTTTGCTCGGGGCAAGGTTTTCTCACAGCTTCATCAAGGGCAAACCGCTCTGCTCGCGCTCCACGACTAACGGGCAGGTTTCTGGCTCTCTCAGCCAAGAGAGCCTTCCACTGCTCGGGGACCACATCTGATACAACCACCTCGGGCAGGTGACAGCAGAGTCTCTCCTACCTCCTTTGGGCTGTTAGTTTTGTTGACACAACACCATCAAAGGCACCTTCCCCTCAGCTCACAAGGGGAAACCGGATCCTCAAATTCCAGCAGCTCCCACTCGAAGCACGTAGGGGACCTGGGGGAAGAACAGAGCCAAGAGGAACCGACGTGGGAGAGGTTTTTTTTGCACACTTACTGCGTCGCGTTAAGGCTACCCAGGAGGTTTTAAGTGCAAACTTCAGGCTGAACGTCTCTACTCATTTTTGGGCTAAAGCAGGGAGGATCAGCTGCTCTGATGTGGCTGCGTCTTGACGCCGTGAACACGGACAAAGAGGATCAGAGCATCTAACAAATGAGTTTTGCCTCCAAGCCTGTTTTTATCCTGAAATCCTGAGAAAGAGACGAAAAGCTTTCCCACCTCTCCAGCAAAAGCGAATGCAGCATAACTGCGGGGAGACAAAACCACCAGGAAACTAGTCCTGGGGAGTTTTACCCCCCCCCGCCCCCGGCGGAAGGGTGGACGTGGGGCCGGCCGCACGGCGAGCCTTTTCGCAGCAAACAGGAAAAGCGGAGCCGTGAGTCTCCTGAACTCCCCTGATATCAGAGCGGGCTATCGCAGCCCGGCAGCGGGAAAACACACTGCATCAAGGGGGGGCACCGGGGTCTTTCCAGCTCTCTTGCCTTCCCAGGTAGCTGTAGGGAAGATGGTAGCAAAAGCGGGGCAGCAGATGGGGTGTGGGGAAATCACACTTGGCTGACGATGATAAAGCAGAAACAACAGGGGGGATGCACAGACCTTGTAGGACTTCAGGTAGCATTCCTCTCCCTGCAAAGACCTGGTCTTTATATATTGTCATTCCTTACTTTGTAAGCACAGTAAAGGGCTCGGTTTTAAAAAGAAAAAGCTCTCCACCTCTGTCCCGTAAGCCCCTGGGAGCACAGGCAAAACTACTGGCATTTTTCTCTCCGATTTAAAGAAGGTATTTCCCAGTTTAGTGTACGGTCGTGGCAGCCAGAGGCCAAGTGCAGGGCTCCTGAGGAATAAACTAACAAATACAGGAAGGGAGAAAGTCTGCAGAAACACAGTCTGAAATAGCACAGGCAGGCCAGAAGGATAACTGCCTGGGGATATGCTCTCAATTCTGCCTATAAATTACCCCGCTGCAGCCTGAGGGTGACACGAACAGGAGAGACAGACAACGGTAAAGGGCCTGGGTCAGTGCCGATGGCCGAGGCAGCCTCTCCCAGGACCTGCCAGCAGTTTCCACTGCAAGAGATGGAAGGGATCTCATCAAGAGTGTTTCACAGACCCGCAAGGAAATAGGACAAACCTTCCCTGCCACCGGCACAGCAGATCCAGGGCCGAATCCTGGGTTAGCCAACTCCAGGCGTCAGCCACCCCACGCCAAAGCCCTCACCACGGGAACCCCTGCAGCTCCTGCATTACCCATTGCATTAAGTCCCGGAAGTCTCCGTTTCAAACGGGTTTTGGTTTCTTTCCTGGCTGTTTCAGCTGCACGAGAGCTCGTTTCTGGGGAGCACCAGAGGACTATCGCCGAAGTCATCCTGCCTGCGCCCTCGCTGCAAGAGCGGCGTGCTGCAGCTTGAGTTACAACAGAGGAGTCGAGACTAACCCTTGCCTCTAGCTGGATAAACAGACTCCAGCGTAAACCACCTCCAGTCCTCCATCAGGTTCTCCTCCGTACAGATAGGCTAAAAGTCAAAGAAGTGCCCAGATTAATTATGCAAATAAAGGCAAAGAAAGCATCCCCAACACAGGGAGAAAGGCACCTGCCTCCCAGGGACCACCTACCCTGGGATAACATTGCAGGCTTCCCACATAATACAGGCCATTAATTATCACTCCCCTCCTGCTCCAGCAAGACTTGTATGTGGGAGTGAAGGAGGCGGCAAGTAGCTCCAAAGCGGCCAGAAGAGCTTGAGGGAGAAGAGTTTAGAGTTTTTTGTTCACGTTCCTAAAATAGAGATCCTGCTGCCTTACCCTCCTTTGTAGAGCATTAAGCCCCACCAGTAAAAAGCGCTACATAAAAGCTAGGCATTAACTCTCTTGTTCTGCTCCAGCCTAATAAGTAGAAAGTCAATGCCATTGTTTTAGATCTAAGCAAAAAAATACTTTGAAACCTCAAAAATTAGGGTTTTTGGAAGCAATTATCTCCCTCCTCCTTCTCTGAGACTAAAGAAACATGGGCCAATTATTTCTTTGAAGGCTAAATATTTACTCCTAGATGAAGTGCAGCAGCTCAGGCTGGAGACGAATTATCCAGCTCTGATGTCATCTAATGCCTGCAAGGAAGAAAACCCAAACGAAAACAGGTATGAACAAACAACAACAAAAAAGGGTGTTTTCTCCTGGAAAAGCCCTTCAGAGAGGGGAACGGGATGAAGCCGTTTCAGCTCCCCTGAGCTGTGTCCAAGGCATTTAGCATGGCCCTGGCACCACGCTCCCGTTCCCTGCAGGCAGCCCTACCCAGGTCTCATTAGCCAAGATGCCCATGCTCAACGAGGGCACAAGTAGAGCACGATCAAACCCCTCCAAGCTAGGAACTGGCCTTATGGAAAAGCCACCGTCTTATTCCGGAGCAAGGCCCACCCTATAGAGTCCGTAGGGCCAGGTGTGGGAACTCCTCCTCAACCTCCACGAGCAAATTAGCCTGCACACACATCGAGCGTTAATCAATCAATGTCAGCTCTTCTTTAAATAACAAAAAAAAAAAAAATCCCTCCTGCCTTATTTAGGTCTGACTCCCGAGTTTCAAAGCGCTCTGCTTTTGCCCCCTCCAGTCACTATTCTTTCCCAGGCAGCGGGTGCCAACCCTCTGGTTAAGGGCACCAAGGAAAAAAAGAAGAAGAAAAAAAAAAAAAGCAGCTATGTGTAAGAAACCACCACCGGCACAAGCGCGGGGTGACTCATCTCCTCTGAAGACGGAGGAACAAGAGCGCTCTCTGTTCGGTGAGACTGCCTGAAGTTTCAGTTGCGATCCCATCTCGCTACACGCGCTCATGACAGCATCCAGAAATATTTCCTCGGGGGATCTTCCCATGGGACTTAACTCTGACACATATTCCCACAGGACTCGTTCTTTTAAAAGTGCTATTTGTTAGTAAGGCAGTGGGAATTTGACTTTGCGAAATACCAAGAGAGTGACTGAGCAGAGCTGGGTGCCGGCAGCTGGACTCGTGAACGCGACTGCGAGTCGTGCCCCGCATTCAATCCGACGGAAGAACTCGCTGGGCTGCAAGAATAGATGTCCTGGGTCAGAGCAGAGGTCTGCATCGCCCGGTATCCTGTTTATGCTACCCGTGGCCTCTTCTCCACCCCTGAGCAGAGGGAGAGCGCTACGGCAGGGAAGGAGGAAGAGCGAGAGACGGTTTCCACATACGTATAGGCTGTGGTTTGTTTTCTTCCTCCATTTTAAGCCCATGACTGCTTAATTCCCACCTGTAGGCACCATACAGTGGATGTGCAGACGCAAAAATCAAATTAAGAGTCGTGTAGACTGATATCCAGCGAGCGGTCATCAAGCGCCACGTTACACGTTAACATTTCAAAGTGACATCTGACCCATTCCCAGATAACACCAGTATGCAGAAACATCTGGATTTTGGAGGACTTCACGTAAGAAAAAAGGGTCAGAGAAGAAAATATGACTTTAAACAATAACTGAGTAATCCGCAATACTTAGAGCACGTGAAACAGGGTCAGAGGGAATCTGCACCCAAGCAGACAAGTCAGCGAGGAGCGCTTGGTGGATGCTGAGCTCCTTTTCTTCTTCCTATACTCTTCGTTAAATGTAAAGCTTCTGCTGAAATGTCTCTAGTTTAATACTGACTTCCCCCTGCTTCCTCCTTTTCCCTTTGTTCTTCCACCTCTTCATCAAAATGTAAAGCTTTTGCTGAAATAGCTAGCTTAATACTGACTACCCCCCGCAAGAGCTTCCCCCAATTCTTCTGCTTTTCTCAAAGTTATTTCAGTCAAATTCAGAAATATAAGGAAAACAAGCGCGCCGCGTGTGACATTCTGAGGCCAAAAAACCAGTGTGGGAAACCATTTGTGGCGTTTTTCCTGCCCTGCTCGGAGCGTGTGGACTGCAGGAATGTACCTGTTTTCCCACGCTCTCCCGGTTGCTGTGGGTAGCCCGCATGGGCATGTCTCCTCCACTCCTCAAAATACCTGAAGTGGCAGCTACCGAAGTTATTAAAAAAAAAAAATCTCAGCTATGGGACAACAACTCTTATCAACACGGGCTCTCGTGGCCGCAGGTAAGTGTCACTCATCCTGCGGGGCACGAACCAGCACCGAGCAGCTGCTCCAGACAAAGAGAAACAACCCGGCGCGGTGCTGCAGGCACGAGGATACGCGTAGTCTCCAGCAAAAAAAAAAAAAATAAAAGGATATAACCTGAAAACTGGGCAGATAATGATAAAACACGCGGGGGAAATACAGAATCAGACCAGCCAGCCCTGGGGACGAGGTAAGTTTTGATAAAGAGGTGGGGGAGTTGCATGTCTGCCACCTCTCACCTGATGCCAGGGGCCGGATCCACTCCTTGCTATTCAGGTCAAGTCTCCAGAGGTCGTTGAAGGCGGCGTTACAACTGCTCTGCGTGCAGCCACCGAACACGTACATCGACTGGTTAGCGTCATAGTAACACGCACCTAGGGGAAAAAGCAAACACGCAGGTTAGCCAATTCTCTGACCTTCGCGTTTTTGGGTGGAAAAAAAAAGATCATTTTCTCTTCCCCTGGGTTTCAGACAGGAGAAAAGCAGACAGGCTGCCCCGACTTCAATTAAACCGTGGGCCAGCTTAGGGATATCCCTGACCAGTGTAAACCTCCTGCAAGATCCTTCCGAGACGATTATCCCCTCAAGCAGAGCTGCTCCTGAAAGCGCAAAGCAAGCTGCCTTAGAAGCCTGCAGTTAATTAGATTAGTTACGATTAACGCACTCAGCACACTTACCTTCTCTAAGCTAGTTCATATGGTTTACAGGGTTACCAAATTAGACTAAGGAACTGGCCTGTGTACCTAGACCAGGTCGTTTACTCTCTTTTTCCAAATCTGACAGCATTTCACCCTATCTCATCAGAGAAAAGCACTACTGAAACACATCTTTATGCGAGCATTCCCTTTGCTCCTCACGGGATAGGATTAGGCAGCGAGATGGGGAATGGGGAGGGAACACACTTGACAACCCCTCAAAGATACCCAGGGAAATAAAGAGCTTTTGGCCTTAAACCAAACTTGGCAGCAAAAAAAAAATAAAAAAAAGCAAGTGTCTGCATTTGGCAGTTAGCGTCCCGTGGTACCACCTCTGACAAGAAGTAAATGAAACATAAGATAGAGCAGAGAGGACTTGCTCAGCTTATCTGCCTTGAAGGACGAGCAAGATTCAAACGTGTTCAGAAAGTTAAACCCCTGCAATTACAAAGAGGATTTCCCCAATTTCTGCATTTCCCTCCCCAAACGCAACGAGCCCCGCTGGCTTCGTACGACGACCCCTCGCCTTTCACGTTCTTGAGATCCCTGCAAGGCAGCGGCATCTCTTCCACGTCTCGCCCGACTCACGAGAAGGGGGACGAGTGCCCGATGGCAACGCTGGAAGAGCAAGCTCATCCTTCGGCAGCAGCTTTGATAGACAAACTCACGCCAGCTCCTAAGCTTGCCAGCCAAGGATCGAGGAGCGAAGGCGACTTCAGCTCCTGGGCGGGTCTGGGTGATCGGGCAGCAGGTTCTTCTGCACCCGCAGCCTCCGATCGGCCGGGTGCTGTCTGCTCTGCTGACCTGCACGCGATGGCAACCTGCTTGAAATTCAGTCCTCCCTTGACCTGACACAGCCTGAAAAAAATCTCAGTTCTTGGGTTTTGCGTAAAATTCTTCCCCCAGAGCTTTGGTAAAAAGTGTACAGTGTGGCTGGCAGGAAGGGCAAGCTCGTTTCTGAAGCCTTGATCTGCCTCCCGGGGTGTTGCTCTGTTCGTTACTGCATCTCCCAGGACATATTTAATGGTCTCCAGCCGCCAGGAATACATCAGCACACATACGGACGGTCCCGAAGCACTAAATCCTGCGTGCAGTCCCTTCGCACCAGCCAGGGGAGCGCTGGCACTCGTCTCAAAGAGAACTCGCTGCCCGAATCCCGCTCAGAACCAAAGCATCTCTCTGTAAAGCCCAACTTCATACACAAGTGCCCTCAAAAAAAGTCATAAAAGTCTAATATCAACCCTTTCAACATGAGCGAGGCCTCCCCAGCGATTCCTCGAGCATTTATTATCGAGTCTAGCGAGGGGAAAAACCACAATAAATCATATCCACGCACACATGTGCCAGTGCATAGTAGAAAGCCGCAGTGTTTTATGCTCTGGGAACACTGAAGGGTACCAGCCAGGGCTCGGAGGGAGCCAGGAGTCATCGCCCTCACGATGACAAGCGATATATTGCCCGACACGAAAAGCAAGAAGAAAAGTCCAAGTTCAGGCGGGCAGCCCATGGCGCAGGGCAGCATCTGGCCCTGGCTCTGAGACGGAGGTGAGAAGCACTCGTGATTATGCAGGAGCGCCTCCGCGGAGCATCCCCAGGTTGAGGACCGCGTGCCGTCGTAAATAACCAGCACAAGGGAAGCGACAAGATGAAGGATTAGCAGGGAAGTACAGCAGCTTTGGTAAAAAGCACCAATATTTATTCCGTGCCGAAGCAAAAGCGGAGGTAGACTCAGGGCAGGGGTGCGAGTTGCACCGTTCCTTCCCCCCCTCCCCATCACACGTCGTACACAGCTGTTCACCGGTTAAAAAATAAAAATAGATTCAGATGAGCTGACCTGACGGGACACGGGACTACTCTGGAGCTTTTACGGACATAAAGGCTTTTTTCTTTTTGAAACAGCAGCATAAAGGAAAAAACACCTGAAAAAAGGAGCATCTGGAGCGAAGGGCTGATAACCTACTTTTGGTAGCAAGAGAAAACGATTCAGAGCGAATCCCCACGAGAAGAAGTCCCTGCTTCCAGCTTCGCTCTAGACCAGTACAAGCCCGTCCCGGGTTTCCAATGATCCAACCCCACAGCCCTAATTTTGCAAGCTGGGGGTATGTATTTCCAGCGTGAAAGAGCTCTTTAACGCAGCCCACCCATACGTACGCCAGCGATATTCATCTCGCCACTCTGAATGAATGGCAACGCCATAAACCAGCGCATTCAAGCGCCCGCAGACAATACCGTGGCTCAGCGGGGGATGCAGTGACGCCCGGTGGCCTTTGCCGAGGGTCCCATTGTCTGACCTGGGGCTTGTCATGCAGATCCCCTATTGAAAAAGCCAGCAGCCCTCATGCCCTTGGCTTTTAGTGACAAGTCCAGGGCGCTTCGCTGACTGCACAGCGGGAACGGGGAAGCTGGAGACACGGGATGTGCTCGTAGGGTGAGACCACCCAGCTCTCCCCCCGTGTGCATCCACACGACGTCCTTACGTGCGACTGAACTGTCTTCATCTCAACCCACGTCTTTGCCAAACCCTGTGACACGCACCCACACGCCACATCGCTCCGGAGCTGGCTCTGGGGTGGAGGATATTTAAATAGTGGTGTAGTGGATTTACCTGGGATGGGATCGAGGAAGAAATAACCATTAAGAGCATTTTTATAGCTTTATCTACTCCTTAAGATTCAAGTCTATTATCATTTTTACATGGTAAGACCCCTTGTAGGCTGCAATGTCACCTCCACCCGAGAAGGCACCAGCCAGCGCTTCGTACCCTAAGTACGTGCAATTAAAACCTGGTGCAAAGCAATGCTGCGGTTTTTCTACTTAACCTTTCTTGAAAGGTTTAGTTTCCTTAGAAATCTAATCACTACCTAAACCATGACAGGTTGAGACCCTCCTACCTCCTCCCCAGGCCAAACCCTTGGCAAGCGTGGCTTTCACACAGCAGCACAGCTCATTTATTATTTTTGAGGGGAGGTGGCAGCATTCTTCTCCTCTATTTGGATTTAAAAACCAGGCCAGCCAGACAGGCACCATGACGTCCGCACGGCATGTATTTTAATCCTAGACCAAAATAATTTAAACCGTCCTTTCCTGCTTCTTCTTAGCAAGCCATTTAAAGCTTCTGAAGCAGAGGAAGACAGATCAGTTTGGGAAAAAAAAAGCAGCACAAGTGAAAACTCCAGCTTATACCAGCCTTGCAAAGGTGTAGAATAAATCAGGGGAGGAAGGTGCGAGTCCCTGGTGCCTTTAGCTCTTTTTTGGGTGGAAAACAAGCAGCTGGAGACCTCTGGATGGATTTTTTAGGTTGGTTTTGGTCGCTCCCTCCCCCCCCCCCCTTCCCCCCCCCCCCCCCCTTTAAAAATTCAGTGTGTCCCAGAGTTTTAGTATTGCAGAGACGGTATATCTTTGTAACTGGAAATGAAGAGAATAAATATTTCTGATGTCTGAAGACACTGATACCCAAACAGACCGCAAAGCCAGCTTGTTTTGAACACGTTCCTGTTTCCCCTCTGTGCTGCACAACAAAGCAGCAGAGACTTTCACGCGGAGCGCAAGATAACCGAAAAAAAGTTCAACTGGGAAGGGAAAACGGAATGCAAAACACACGCCCTTTGCAATAATTAAAGGGCATTGACTTTTTAAACTTCGAGTACATCAAATAAAGTAACCCATCCGAGTTCAAAGGTCATATTCCCCATCGGAGAGCTTGGCTATTGAAATCCCATTGCTACGCGGCCCTCAGCTCAAGACAGCACCGCAGCTTCGCGGCTAAAGGTCGACAGCCCTTGCTGTCGGCGTTCCCAGGAGGACCCTGCCAAGGCGATGCCGCAAGCGTCGCACGTTGAGCCGCTGGCACCGCTTTCCTCCGACGCGGGGCTGGGTTTTGGAGGCAACCTCTCCGCGCCCAACCGCGCCTGGCACGAGAGCCGGCAGGATGGCGGCGCCGAGGAGGCAGGGCTGCAGATGAAAGCGCCTGGTCCTGCTGGCAGGCGGAGATGTTTACACCAACTACGCCGCAAGTCGCGGCACGATAAAAATGCGCCAGACCTCAGAAAGCCCAGCTCTCCACGTTTTTGGATAAAAAATAAATAAATATCCCACATCTATCTCCTTATCCTCTAAAATACTATTTTCCTGCTCCTTGCAGTTGCAGGGACTCAGTGCATCCAAAAGGCAGTGATATATTGAGCAAAGCTGGGTGATATGAAGAGCCGTAGCTCCGGCAGAAAAGCAGCCCATCCTGTAAAACAAACAACATTCCAGCTTTTACCTCTCCCTTGCCTCTCAGGATAAACCCACGAAATTGCTTTAATTAGTCATCACATTGGTGCCATGCTCCCCCAGACTGCATGAAAGAAAAATAATCGGTATTTAAAATTAGTCACTCTTCCATCAAAGGATCAATATTTCTGGCACAACGGTCGGCATT